AAAATAATTGTACCTATTAATATGTGTATGAATTAGATTGATCAAACATAAAATAGTTATTTATAAGACCAATAGTCATTAATAATTATAATATATCCGTGAATCTTACATGTATATGTGCTGCATACCAAATATGGGTATGAACAAGATTCAATATTGAATCTCATCTTTAAAAAGAGAGATTTGAGTTTGAAAGGATATAGGAAAATTAACCTAAACTCTCCTAAAAAATTCATCCAAAAAATCCTGGGAGCATTAGAAATAGCACAGAAAATTTTTAAGTCAATCATAAATCGAGTGAGGCTCGCAATAGATGTAACAAAACGTGGCATCAATGTCACCTAGGGGTGCAACTTGGGCGGGTTGGACAGTCAACTCTAACCTAATCCTGGGTATATAATTTTCAATCTTAACTCTAACTCTAACCCTACCTCGAGTTGAGTTTCTTAATCCGAGCACTGTCCAAGTTTAATTCGGACGGGCTCGGATTAATAATTTCGGGCTGATTTAGGGTTGAATTCGGATAGAACCCAAAATAAGTTTGTTGTTTTAAACCTAATATATATATTACATAATATTCACTTAAATCAACAATCAATAACTTCAACCAAGTTTTTAACAGTGTTAATGGTAGAGCAAAAATGAAAACTAACGAGAGAGACAGAGAATGATAGAACAAAAATAAAAAATCAGTACTAATGTTTTATATATATATATATATATATATATATATATATATATATATATATATATATATATATATATATATATAAATTTTTTTATTTTTTTTATTTTTTTTAATTTGTCGGGTTCGGGTTGAACCTCGTGAACCCGAGTTCTTAACTCGAGCCAACCCAAATTCAATTTGGGTTGAAAGTTTTTAACCTAAGTCCAACCCAAGTATTAAAAACTCTTACCCAAGTCTTAATTTTTTTTAAGTTGGACTCGGGTTATCCAACCCAAATTACACCACTAATGTCACCGCACTTTCATGGACAAGGCCTATAACTAGTTGTTTTAGTACTTCTAAATTTGGGCTTGGATAAGTGGGCTTGAGCCTTTCGGGAGACAAGAAAGAAGGCTTACTGCTAGAACCACGACGACCTCTGGCCCAACTCCATCCAAGATTTTATTATTTGTGTGGATAAACTAAACACCTATTCTTTGTTTAAACTCAAACAATTGAAAAAAAAAAATTATCGTTAAAAAAAAATAAAAATAAATTCATTCTGTCAATTTCTATAAGAAAAAAAAATGAAAAGATGCATCAATTAGCATCGGCATGGGCTAATTTTTGTATGTTGGGCCGGGCCGGGCTGGTAGCCTAGTTTCCTAACATGCACCAAGTCATTAACTAGTGTGTCCGTTATCATCTGAACCGGTAATCTAATGATAAGTCGCATTTGTTTAGAGCAGTTCTAAACTCAAATATAGTTATCCAGTAGGGTTCGACACATAATAGTAACGCGATTTGTTGTTTGACTATGATCGTGTTATGATAACAGACTATCTTTCCGAATTAGTACTAGTGACTCAAATCAAATATTCTACAGTGAAGGACTTTTCTGGTCACGACCAGGGAGAGTGTTTGACCCACTAATTGAGCATTAATAGATAGATATATGCATATATTAAAGAATATATAGGTAAATAACATACATTTTAACACACACAATTAATTTTTCATCAATTTTTTCTCTCAATTTTGAAAGAATTGATTTTAGTGAGTTAAAAGAAAAGTTAATTCATTAATTTTTTTATTATTTAAATTTTTTTTCTTATCAAACATAATATTTTATTTACCTTTTCAACTTGTCATCCTTCCATTTTTTATTGTAGTAAACACATATTAATATAGTTTAACATTGTCGATCAATGCATGACATGATGTTCCTATCAAGTTTATCTAATTTATGTTTCTAAGCAATTATGTTAGGTGGAGATCACATGATAACTTTTCTAACGAAGGTGGAGATCACATGATAACTTTTCTAACGAAGGATGCTACTGGTTTACTCAATTATAAAGTGTGCTCTTCACAACAACATCAAACCTTGTAGCATTTGCTAAAAGAAAAGAAGAGAAAAAAACAAAAATCATTGAATTTTCAAACAATAATTGAGGTACCAACTATGCCAGCATACAAGATTGTATTTCACATTTTAATCAAGATTTTTTTTTAGATGGAGTAGAATGGTTTCAACTACAAGTTCCCATTTAACTTATAATACAAATGTTAAATGCATCTAATAATCGATAAATTACGTGTATTTCGTAATTCTCCGTCAAACTGACAATCTCTCAATAGATCCTATGTGCACCTTTGGCCTACATGTATTACGTCTTTCTCATGACTAGGCCCAACCAGGCCGGAGCTCGAGGGCAAACTTTATTTATGGAAGGGAGAATGGAGAATTAGTTGAGAGACTTTCATTTTCTATGATTGACGTGGGAACTTTCAGATCCCTCTAATCTTTTCCAAAGTTGAGGAGGTAGAAAGTGTATAAATCAATGGGCGTTAACGAGCTTTTATTGATGGACGTTGATATCATTGAATTGATTCAAGATCTTGAACCCTTAGTGTAAGAGTCAAATGTGCTATTGATGGTGAAATTCATCAGAAAGGAGTGACAAGGAAGCATACATTATATGCCATAGCAAAATGGTGGTTTATTGATTGGCTATAGTTCTTTGTAGTCATTTTTTTATGAATCCTTTGGCCTACTCATATTGTAAGTTCTATTATTTTCTTACTGCTGAAAGTTAAAGTTTCATTGTCATTCATTCATACAATGAATAGTCTTTGTTGATGGCAGCTGGTACTTCTAATAGATTATTGAGGAGTAGAGTTCCATGCCCATAATACAAGAAGAAGCGTGTAGCTTGAGATCTAAATTCCTTATACAATTTTCTATTTTTCTCAATAGCAGATCATTACTACTATGTATTGGTTTCTTTTTTTTTTTTCCCTTCAGTTTGTCTCGACGATAATCACACATAGCGTATTAGTAGGGGATCCAATTATTTATTATGAGTTCTACTTAAATTCATTACAAGTAATTTATGTAGAGAAAAAAATTAAGGAATAGTAAAACAAATGAAATTCTAATCTTAAAACTTATATATAGAATCTGAGTGAATCGTCAAATTCATTTAATAAATGCATCAATTTGAATTGAATTAAACATAATCCGTAATTGAATGATATGCAACTATAAATTGGCTCTAATAGGCTAATCCGATCATAAATTTCTTCCCCATATTCTTTTAATTTCCCTTTCTAATACTTTCTGTCTTTTTTTTTTTTTTTGAAAAATACAATTTTGATAAAGGTTGCCCATTTTTATGCAGTTTCAGGGTTTTGTGACAAGTGCAGCTTCGCATTCTCATTGTCATTTTATAATTTTTTAATTGTGGGACAAATTGATATATTTTTATTTTATTATTTTCTTAATCTTATCAAATGATAAATTATCTATAGTTCATTAAATGAAAAACTAACTAATGAAGGAGAATCACATTTTGCAACCCAAAAAATTCTAATTTTTTTTTGTAATACTCTCGATATATTAAAAGTATTGCAATCTATCTCTTCTTTTAGCTTTTATTGCACTCTCAATGATTTTTCACATAATGAGTTACGAAAAATTAAAGATGGAACGAGTAATGCTACACAACCCAAATAAAATCTAAAAAATTATAATCCAAACGTATATCATCTCTTGGATGAATGAATTAAATCAACGTCACTCATATAACACTCATCCAAGAGATTATATACATTTGAGTTATAAATTTTGGGTTTTAATTGAATTATATATTATTTTTGGGAAAGAACACATTACCACACTTTTAATATATTAAAAATATAGTATGAAAAATTTAATATTTAAAAGTGTTACGTGAGAATTCATAAAGGGTAATATTACACAAGCCAAATAAAATTCAAAAAATTACAACCCAAATATATATCATTATTTAAATGAATAGGTTCCATTAACTTTTTCGGTGAAAATCACTAACCGAATAGATAATATGTATTTAAGTTATACTTTTTTAATTTAATTTTGAATTGTATAATATTTTTCATTTATAAAATTATTTAGGATACAACGGACAATTCGCACTCTTATAAAAGACAAGAAAAAAAAATTCCTAAAGTACCGTAAATACCGAAATTTCCGGGTTTAGTGCCTATATAGTGGGCCCTAGCAATACCAAAAGTTGAAAAAAATCCAATCTAAAGCCTGCAATTTAACCTCCAACGGTTTGATTGTTTTGGTTCAAATAATAAAAAAATTATGAATTCAAAAAACATTTACAGAATATTTAGACTTTATGAGTTAAATATGGACATTTCTCTTTCTAAAGGATATGCACAAACTAAATACTGCTTGAACTTTTCCCACTTTGAGACTGAACCCACGTATAAACTTTGTGTTTCTCTGCCTCTTCTGTGCTTTGTGCTAGCTCATGGCTGTTCTCAAAGGTTAGAATTAATGTGCTTTTCTTCTTTTGTTTAAAATCAAATCTAGCATTTACTCATAAAGCAATCTGTGTGGGTGTCTTTGTTATTAATTTGTTTTGGATTTTTTTTTGCTCAAATTAGCGGACTTTCACCAAGTATGGGGAAATGTGCCGTTCAAAAGCCTTTTGAACTTCTGAGTTTTGATGGGTTTTTGTGTTTCACTTGTAAACTTCTGCTTAATATGTTCATTTTTATGTGGTTTGTGTAGAGATTCTTCTTGTTCTGTTTGTTTGTTGCAGCTTTGCTTTTTAAATCCATAAAAAATAAAAAAAAACCATCTTTGTTATTATGGTTTTTGTTTATTTTTTGCAGATTTTTTGTATTTGATACAAAATAAGTGAATTTTTTGGGGGTGTTTTTGTAGATTTTATGATATAAGTTTTCTGAAGAGAATGTGAATAAAGAAGACGGGAAAAAAAACAGTTGAGTTCTGGTTTGGTCATAGTTAGTGATGGTCCATTCCATTCGGGAGATGTATGTGCCGGTTTTAATGGGTGTGGTGGTGATTCTTGCATTGCCAACTTGCCGGGGAGATACCGACCCTCGTGATGGTAAAGCTTCCCCTCTCCATTTCTTCTTTACTCAATTTTTTTTTTTTTTTAACTTTGGTGTGCATAAAATATGTGTGTGTGAAGATTTGGAGAAAGTTTGTAGTTTGTCTATTCCTCTGAATTGTTGGAGTTTTACTTGGCTATACTATTGTGTTAGTTCCTTCATTTTTGAACTGATTCTTTTCCATACCTTGATTATCATTTAATGTGGATGACGTTTACTGTTATGGAATTAATTTATGGCTGGTGTTTATGCCAGTTTTTGCAATAAATGGTTTATATGCTGCTCTGGGATTCCCCCCTCTTCCCGGGTGGGTTCCCGTTGGAGGAGACCCATGTGCGCTGCGTTGGCAAGGTGTACAGTGTGTCAATGCCAACATTACCGGAATGTATGATTCTCCTTTTCAAGCTTTGTGCTCATTAGAAGTACTTTTTGGACAAATATCTAAGTTTCATGGATTGACAGAATTCTAAACGGTGCGAATTTGGAGGGTCAGCTGGGTGAGAGTTTGAATTTCTTTGCTTCTATCATAAAAATGTAAGTTTTAGTTTCATAAAGTTCCATTTGCATGAATTTCTTATTCATTTTTGAGTTAGTATTCAAATTGAATGACCTCTCAAACCATTTCTTACATCTGTGAGTGGATTGAGTGGGAAGCATTGAATTTCAATTTCCCTTCACTGTGACTTTCTTGGAGTTAAGCATGTTAATGAAATTAGTTAAGCATCTTTATTATGGACACCTTATTAATATTTTTGGTCTTTCTAAAAGCAGAGATCTGAGCAACAACCACATTGGAGGCAGTATTCCATTCAATTTGCCCATTACCATCAGGAACTTGTATGTTTTTACCTAAAATTTCTTTTGTGGAAAGATAGTAATCTGTCTTAATCAATCTTTGGTTACTGCTAAAATCCGTTGGTACATTCTGAATATTCTAATTTTCTATTAAGTCATGCTTTCTTTCTTTTTGCTATAGTTTCCTTTCGGGTAACCAGTTCTCTGGAAGCATCCCAGATACTTTGTCTTTATTAGGTCAATTGTCAGACTTGTAAGTGCTATCCTGTTTGTGTTACTTAGATTTCAAGTTGCCGAGCTGCTAATTTTTCAATAGTTTTGCCTTTTAAATTTTGGTCAATATATCTGTCAGGTCACTGAATGACAACCATCTAACAGGAGTGATACCAGATGCCTTTCAACAGCTTACGGGTTTGATAAATTTGTAGGCCTTCTTTGTTAAGCTTTTCTCTATGAATAAGATTGTAAGTTCTGGTTGTAATTATTGACCATGGTGCCATGCTGCAGGGATTTGTCTGGAAACAGTTTGAGTGGTCAGTTGCCTCCTTCAATGGGGAACTTGTCATCTCTTACCACACTGTGAGTAATCATGTAGTAAGATATTCAGGTTGTCAGCTATTCCTAATTCCTAATATCATATATAATTACATAAATGCAGGCACTTGCAGAACAATACACTTACAGGGACACTTAATGTTTTGCTAGATCTTCCGCTGATAGACTTGTAACCTTCTGCCCTAATTTGTGACATCTGGCTTCAGTGGAATTTGTATTTTTTTAGCATCTTAAGTGTTTGATAGCCTTATTGACTTGATTTTTCATTCCTCAGGAATATAGAAAATAATCTGTTTTCTGGACCTGTACCTGGGAAGTTACTGAATATCCCGAATTTCAGGTGAAACAGAGAATGGTATATTTTGTCATTATTCTTTGAAGATGAAGCCTATTTTTGTGGAATTTTCATGACATGAATTCTTCTTGATATCAATTCATTAGCTTCAATTTGCTAAGACCAGAAACTTGATATGGTTTAGAGCATATTTATGTGGTCAATATCAGAGTATTTGTATTCTATGTAATGTAGGATCTTTTACGAAATGAGGCTGTTGACACTGCCATGCATCTCTATCAAGAATGTTATGGGAGAGGACAAAAAGTGGTTCAATTAAGGGGATCTCAAGTAATGAGTGAATTAGATCCATTATTTATCCTTAGGTTTTTTTTTTTCTTCGAACGTCCTCTTTTAACTGATACTTTTACTGTAATTGAGGTTACTTAGGGATTAATCTTTCATTGCTCATTTAGGTAACACCAACTGAAATATTGCCACATTTAGTAGTAGTTACTACTCTCTTTTTGCTTGCAGTTCAACAAGGCACTTTTTCTAGCACAAAAATGGTTTTAAATGAAGTACAATTGTGGTTGCTTGGCATTCACGAGAGTTAGCACAGGGTGAACAATAATGATTGCTTGATCACAATTAAAATTCCTCATCCATCTTCAGAAAATATAATTTCCAATTTAAATTGTTAATTTTGAAAGCATTATATTTCATACAAATCTTCAATCTTGTTTTTAGTAATATCTTACTCATAAAGGCATATAGTGATGGTTATCAAGGTCTCTCTTGCCTTCCTGCTTTAGCTCAATCTCTCAAATAATGTGGAGTTTCTTCCTGACGAGCTTAAAGTTGCTATCTGAAATGCTTCTTCGTCGGAGTTTTGACAACAATTTCACTACTCGACTTTTCTGATGATTGAATTTTCCCTACAAGTTGCTATGTAACAAGCTTTCCCATTTTCCTGTTTTTTTATTGTTTTGGTCGGCGGGAGGGCTTGGAAGAGTATCTGAGAAACAGAAGCTCAAGATGCCCTTCATGCTATTTTTGTTCACAACTTTTGTGAAAAACCTATTGCTTGGAAGATGAAACCTCAAAACACATCATAGCCATACTAGAGTGAATAACCACATAATGATGCCTATAAATATTCTATGATATGAAATTGTGAACAAATTTTAAGAAATGAGGTAAGCTTCAAAATGATGTGTAACATTTGACTATGTGCCTAGCAGTCCAATGCATGAGGCTCCACAGAGTTAGGGGAGGGTCAGATGTAATCTTACACTGTTTGTGAGAAATTCTTTTTGTGACTTGAACAGATCCATGAAATTCAAGGCACAATGAAACAATCTTATCACTACACCTTCAGAATAAAAAAAATTTATGGGCCGTCAATCGTAAAAATGATTGGAGATATTGGTGATGCACATCATCATTGCTTTGGGATCTAGATTACGCATACTATTTTTTACTTTCTTGCTCTAGTGAGTGACATTCACTTTCATGCTGCAGAAGAGCTGGAAACCCCTTTAACACTACTATTATCCCATCACCACCAGCCTCACCTCCTTCACTGTCTCCGTCTCCATCTCCATCTGGGGCTCCACCTCCTAAGTTTGCTCCCGGAAGGCATGCAGATGGACCATATGCACCTGAAATATCACATTCTGCTAAAGGAGGAAAGTTTCTGACAATTAAAAGCATCGGTTGGGTTGTTATTGTTGCGTGTTTCATCTTTATAGTACTTGCCTTGACGCTCTGTATTTATCTGTTGCGATGCTGCCAACGAGGGCAAAAGGCCAACAAAAATTCCAAGAGACATGAAACACATGCATATAGTGGCTCCATCGAGGGCCCTGATCATTATGAATCTTTGCAAAAGCCATATCATTATTCAGAGAAAGGTAACTTTACTCTCATCCATAAGATCACAAATTCCTGGCCTTATGCTTTTCTTTTTTCCATAATGATTTTTGCTTGATCAATGACCTCTTCTGATTTCTGAGCAGTTTCAAAAGAGACAGTTGCGAGGCCACCAGTTGGAGGTGGAAAGAGTCGTAGAAGCAATAATTTGAAGTCAAAGCGAGAGGCTGAGGAAGATGACTTGAACAGAATGGCTGCAGTTTCAAAGCATAGTGAGGATCATGAGATAGACATGACAGGATCGGATGCAAATATTCTGCCGCCGCCACCCCCACCCCAACCTCCGTTTACACTTCTTTCTGGAGAAAGTGCTAGTCTGAATTCACCTTTTCCCCCAATTACCTTAAGGAGACATACTACTCAAAGTTTTAACCGTGTGAAGTCCTTTACCATTGCGTCTCTCCAAGTATATACCAATAGCTTTTCTCAAGAAAATCTGATTGGAGAAGGTATGGTTGGCACAGTTTTTAGAGCCGAGCTTCCTAATGGAAAGGTAAGATTCTTTTGATTTAAATTGGACAGAATTGCTGCAACAACTTTAATGTTACTTTTGTGGGGGTGGGGGTTGTTTGTTATTACAATTGAGATCATGATTACATTTTTTTTAATTATTATTATTGTTGTTATGATCTTTTTTGTTCTTACTATTAGTATTGTTCTTTGGAACCAGTGAAACCCTAAAATCACTCGCCCATTCCAACTCTTCTGTTCATCCCATCTAAAACCCTTGAATCAGTGAATTAGGGACAGAGGGAGGCAGGAGACTCCGTCTATACCACAGCTTGAGACGAGTTATTGATGTTGGTGATACTTTTATGTTTTTGGCCGCCTCATTGTCCTAACTGAGTTGCAAATTTTTTATTAGCCATCGACAGTTATTGTTTTCCTTCTCCCAAGAAGTTGATTTTAACTTTTCCTATATATTTCTATGTGCAATTAAATTACTGAAAAGTTTCCATGTTCCAAAAATTTATATTAATTAGTCATGACTTATGTAATCTATATTAGACAAAAACCCATCTCTCTCTCTCTCTCTTCCCCCCCCCCGGGTGGAGGTCCCTCTGTGTCTATGTTGCCATTATGCTATTGTCTATATTTTTTCGAATGTTTGCCAATTATTCCATTTTATGGTGTTTTTCTTTTGATATAATATTTAGCTACTGGCTGTCAAGAAACTGGATGCTGCAGCTTCCAGGCAGCAGAGTGATGAAGAATTTCTTGAATTAGTGCATTGCATTTCTAAACTTCAACATGCAAATATAGTTGAACTCGTGGGTTACTGTGCTGAGCATGGACAACGGCTACTAGTGTATGCATATTGCAGAAATGGAACTCTTCATGATGCATTGCACTTGGATGATGATATCCATAAGAAATTTTCGTGGAATGCTCGCATACGACTAGCGCTTCAAGCTGCAAGAGCCCTCGAGTAAGTTAAGCTACCAACTCATTGCATTCCATGGAATGCTCAAATCTGAAATTAATTGGACTTTGAGTTATTTAGGGTTGGACATTGCATTCCTTGGTTGGACTGGTGAATTGATCCTCCAACTAATCTTTTGCTTGTTTCCGTTAGTTGCATGCTCTCGTGCAAACAGATCTTGTACCTCCCATATTTAATTTGTGAACATGTGGAGGCTGATTTTTTCTTCTTGTTTTGTGGTGAAGGTATTTGCATGAGGTTTGTGAACCACCCCTTGTGCACCAGAACTTTAAGTCTGCCAATGTCCTCCTTGATGATGAGCTTGTAGTGCGTGTTTCAGATTGTGGTTTGGCTTCATTGATATCCTCTAGCTCCATGGCTCAGGTAATTCCTTGTCAAAGCATTGGAATCCTGTAATGGGAACTTTTGCATACTTGTGTACTCACATTTATATCATCTATTTTTGAGGTAGTGCACACTAATTCTCTGATCATGCGGACTGATGATTTTTGTCTATCCTTATTCAAAGTCGGTCGGTCGATTCTCCATTGCATGTCCACTTCTTTTGGATTAGTGATATTTACATTTGATCATAAATGTTGGTCAGACGCAGTTGGTATCATTTTCACAGTTCGGCAAATGATGGCAGCTTCTTCTGTGTGCCTGTGATGGTGCTAGATTTCCCATGGGAAGATAACGTGCAATTTGTGGGAGAAGAGTAAAAATTGATTGATATATTTTAATACCTTTGACGGCATCAATCTACTTGTCTTTAATATGCTTCTTTATCTTTCTCTCTGCTTCTATGGACTGACTCAAAACTGATGAGTTAGGGGTCAAGTATTATTGAAACTTTTTATATTATTATATTCATTCCTTTCCAAATGGTAAAAATTTTTTCTTTACTCTGTTAACTGTTGTAAAATTAATACCGTCTAGTGGGTAGAATACTCTCAGAAGTCAAAAGCTGAATCTCACTTACAACTGGGATTCCAAGGCTTCTTAACTAATTGGTTGACTATCTCTTATTTGAGCCTGGATGTTGGTTAGAAGGGCATGCTGAAGTTGTAAAGGAATTTACTTAATGAGTGGATTCAAATTATCCTATTCTTAGGGCAAGTTTGAATTTGTATTATCTGCAACAAAGTGGAGAAAACATAATTAAATGCAAAATCTTCGTGTCACAGGCATGCAATCAACTGTCTGCTTATTCTATTTGATTAGATTATTATGTTGCTGACACGTGTATTTCTCAGTTGCAAAGTCTCGGTTATGGTGCACCAGAACTTGAGCTGGGAAGCTATGCTTACCAGAGTGATGTTTACAGCTTTGGGGTTGTCATGTTGGAGCTTCTCACGGGGCGAAAATCTTTTGATAGGTTAGTGACAGTATTCAAGAGAATATGCTGGTGATGATGCATAGATGTGTTCACAGATGAATATTCTTTTTCTTGATTAGTGTACAGCTGCATACAATGAAAATGAAATTACTTCACATATCAAACTGTTTTTTTCTGGGAACGGCTACAAATCTCATAAATATAATTGATGTGTAGGTCTCGACCTCGAGGGGAGCAATTTCTGGTTAGATGGGCAATCCCTCAGCTTCATGACATAAATGCATTGTCAAGAATGGTTGATCCTTCTCTAAATGGAGCATATCTATCTAAATCTTTATCTCGTTTTGCCGACATAATTTCGCTCTGTGTTCAGGTGAGGCGCTTCTTTTTCATTTTTTTCCCTCTCAATTGGACTAATTTTGTGCTGTGTGTTTTTTATTCATAAAATTTGTGAAGTACTGAATCGTAAAGTGAAGAAATGTACATGTTTTAGGGATACACCCTATCTCACACGCACATATGGATATGTAAAATGGGAGGTTCTCTTATTGCTAGAACTGAAAATGCTCCCAATGTGAAAAATACTGTTCCCTTTTGCTAAGCTTGTTGCATCCATTTTCAAGAACTACTTGTAACTGCAGATGTTGAAGTTGTGAAGGAAGAAAATGAATAGGCAAATGGAGTCCTTCAGAAAATGAATAATATGCTGATGTGGGACGGAGTGTTATATTATAAGAAAAAGTTCCAATTAAATAGAAATTACGAAAGTTTCAGGTCAGTATATCCAAATGGATACACTCTAGAAATTCACCTTCAGCGATGTCATCTGAAAGGCAAACCACCCCCACCACTCCGCGACCACCTTCTTTGCTTCCGAGAAATACAAAGAAAAATAGAAGAATTGCAAGACAATTCCAATGTTATTTTCTTAAATGGTTTCTGAAACATAAGAAGCACGTTCTTGATCCCGAAAATGACTAAGCATAGGTTATGTAGTAGGGCAGAAAGTAGAAAGGGCTTTATAACTTACTTTCTTTGCATATCACTTCAGTTGTTAATTAACAAGAACATAAGCATATAGGTCAATAGCTTCTTTTGGTTCTTTTTCGCCTTTGCTTACTGTTAGATGTTATCTTTTTCCTTGTTCAATTATCTTTTGCTTCAGTGAGAATATATTGGTCAATAGCTTCCTTATCTTGCTCTTTCTTTTGCAGCCTGAGCCAGAATTCAGGCCACCAATGTCCGAAATTGTCCAGAACCTTTTACATATGATTCAGAGAGATACCTAAATGAGAGATCAGATAAGCATGACATGTATCATAAATGAACAAAGCTACTGAGTTCAAGTTGTTCAACCATGATGAGAATTCTGGTTCAAGTTTATGTTGAAAGCTGGTCACCTTAAAAACTTCGCATGATGTTAGCTAACGTGTATACAATTCGCATAATTTTTTGGAAGGAACCCTTCATCTCTTGAAGCTACACAATCAAGTCGGTCCTCTTGCTCGAAAAATCTTGCTTTTTAACATCTTAGTCCTAAATTGTCTTTGTTTTGTTTATGTTGTAGCTCAATTTGTTGAATTATTTGTTTGTATTGTTGTATCATTCTTATGTTAGATTCAACTATGTTGTACAAATGGTACTGTAATATTGCAAAACAACCATTTTTCATTTCAATGTTACATGCTTTCTATGTGTGTTTCTCATGATGGAAGTTATGTGGTTAGAATGTAGCTTTTGTGAATATGATAACCTTCTTTTTGTATTTTTTTGAAGTCCCACAAGTCTTGTGTACTTTACCATTTTGTTCAATTATGGTATTGAAAAATTATTTTTTGATACCATATTTTGATGTCAATCACTTTTCTTTTAGAAAATCTACCTCTAGAAAGATAGGGCGATGCCAAAAAGTCGTAGAAGCGCTCACATCTGTTGGCTTGCTCTTTCACTTGAATTTTCAAATTCAGCTCGCTTTCAGCTACGCAACCTTTGGCCCCTTTGCCTGCTTAGAAGTAGATTCACACCACTAACACACAGATTTTTAGTCATTTGCTCTAATTGATTCTAAGAATGCGAAAAAATGAAAGAGTTTTGGTAACTAAAAGATAAGGATAATGAAATTAGGACTTAATTGAAATATAATATTGAAAATAGGATTTTATTGGTATAAAATAAAAATGATAGGACTTGATGGATATTTGTAAGAAAAAAGTAATACATATTGATAATTTTTCCTTAAATCTTATACAGCATTTTTTCAAGTTCTCCAGAAGCCATTGAGTCTTCTGTTTAGGTAAACGAAAACTCACAATTCTCACATATTAGGTTCATTTTTGTCACCAAATAAAACATTTTTTTTTTTCAAAATTGGTTGTAATTGAAGCATATTATCTTCAATTTTCACACACCAGGTCTTTTGTTCTTAGGTTTGAAGTGTTTCTTTAACTATAAGTTTTATTTTCTGTTGTTGAATTTTCAATTTTTCTTAAAATCTGAATTGGAGAATTCAAAAATATTATTCTTATTGTTTGATTTTTGTTGTGTGAATTCAAATCAGTAGTTTTTGTACTCAATATATTTCCTGTTATTTTTTCTTTGTCATAATATTTTTTTATAGATTGATCAAAATTTATTAGATATAATTTTTTGACATAAAAAAAATATTTCCTTTCTTTTTATCATTATATTACTATGTTTGTTGTCACACTTTTGGTTTGAATTATGCAAATGTTTATGTGGAGTTTATCATAGTAAATCATTTTTTTTGTTATTTTCATAAATTTCTTCATTACAATTGTGCGAATTTGTGAATTGTTATTAATATCGGATGAACTATTTTATATTTTGGATTTATGTCACCGTTTTGCTAATGTAACAACAAAGAGTTAATCAACACATAACTCTCAAAAAATGAGAGATACAAAGCAAACCTAATAGTGTGACAACAAATAGTGAATCCACACTTAATACACAAACTATGAAAATTAATACTCAATTCAAGAAGCTAGTGTAATAGTGTTGTAGCAAAGAGAGGATCCATACATACTTCCCAAAAATTAAAAATTGGTATTTAGGTCAAAAGTTAGGATAAAAATGTGACAAGAAAGATTGAATCGACGCTTAATATACAAACTACGAAAATTAGTACTCAATTTGAATCTCTATTTTATCATTATAAA